CTAACCCTAACCCTAACCCTAACCCTAACCCTAACCCTAACCCTAACCCTAACCCTAACCCTAACCCTAACCCTAACCCTAACCCTAACCCTAACCCTAACCCTAACCCTAACCCTAACCCTAACCCTAACCCGTCCAAGTAAGATGTCGCCATATGGAAAAGTTGGCCATAGGATGAGTCGATAGCGGTGGCTAGTGGAGTGATGACAGTAGTGAAGCGAGGCAGGAGGCGTGGGAAGGAACCGCACGGAGCTTTGTAAGTTTTGATTCTGTACAAACGTGCCACACGATACTTTCGCCAAGTGATCATCGTAAAAGGGATCGACGCTCCCGTGCATATCGAGCCGGTACCAAGATGTGCGTGAGGGTTATCTTCCATCAGACAATGGGAAGGCGTATGCACCGGGCCAAACGCGAACCTTGTTTTACCCCGTCCACTCGGCCTATACAAACCGCTCGCCAGCGCAGTGGTAGTTTTCTGGCTTGTTTCGTAAACATACCTCGGACCTCGGCTTTATTGAGTGCCTAAGACCGCCCTCGTAGTTACCTCGTTTCCCTACGTGTTGTCGCTGTCGCAATTGCACATGAATCAGGCCGGAGGCGGGAAGGCATCGACGACGCAAACAAGCACCGGTAATATGCATTTGATATTCCCTTAACGCCAGAAAATCACACAAAAAGGTCCACATAAAAGATTATTAAGGTAATGCACTCAACACTCAACACGAAACATGCAAAAGCTTCCCTTTCATCCCCTCGAACCCCTTTGCTGCTCCCTCAACCGCTTCGCCGCACCTTCATCAAAACTAATCCTCGTACTCCTACTGTCGTCATTGTTCCCTCCATTGCCATTCTCATTTCCATTAGCCGGACTCCGGCTAGGACCCGTGGATGTGACATCGCCGCCACTCCCCAATCCAGATGGCAACTCGCCCGAATCGACCGTCGCCCCACCAAATCTAATCCTCGGCGTAGGACTCCTCAACCCCTCCACATTAACCCCGCCACTCTCTTCGCCAGCATCCTCCTCTTTCTCAGTATCCTCATCCCCAAACTGCGCCTGCAACTCCTTCTGCCGCCGCTCAAACGCCTCCCTCGCCAGCCTCTTCTCCTCCTCGACGACCTCGTCCGTCTCCATGTTGCGCAAGACATCCATTCGTCTCCGCGCTTCAGCCGGCGTTTCTTTCTCGCGATCGGCGCGGGCTTTGGCTTCGGAGCGGGTTGTTGCTTTCGAATTGCGGCGGTCGGAGACGATGATAGAGGGTGTTGCTGCTGAGCCCAATTTCGGCGCCACCTTGTTCGAGTGGACGGTATCGTCGAGGGGTCGGGCGTCTGAGGGGCCGGAGATGGCGACCTTCGGAATCCTTTTCTTCCTCACGCCAGTTGAGCTCTCACCCTTCTCACTGTCGCTATCAGTCTCACTCCCACGCCTATGTGCCCCACGTCCTCTATGCCGATATTCCTCCTCCTCATTTTCCTCTTTCTCATCCCACACATCCTCAGCTCTCGACACAGATCGACTGGTAGTAGGCGTACTCTCAACAACAACTGCCCTTAAATCCTCCACACTAACCCCATGTCTCGCACCCTCCTTCCTAAACATCCCCAAAATCTTCTGTACCACCCCATGCTTCGGATGTCCCGGATCTCTCACCGCCTGTTTCCGTTCCTCAGGATCCGGAACATGATCAGAGAGTTTCTCGTGGAGTGCACCAGTTTGTTCCTCAGAGTAGCGGTGCACGATTTCGCCGTTTTCGTCCTCGATGATAACGTCTGCGCCTTCGCGGAAGACTTGGTTGCCGTTGTTGATCTCTTCTTCGCGGTCTTCTTCGGTTCTACCTTCTCTGTCTCTGCCACCGCGGAGGGTCTCGTCGCTTTCGTCTCGGTCGCCGTCGCGGTCGCGGTCGCGGCGGTCTTCGCTGCTCCTCGATGAACCCAGAGCCAACTCCGCATCCCCCGGTTTCAACCCTCTCCCAATCGCGCTCTCATCCACCCGCCCACCAACGCCCCTCCTACTCCTACTCCTCGAATTCTTCCTCCGTAATCTCATGCCATTTCCATCCTCATCCCTTCCCAAACTCACACTTTGCCCCACTTCAATCCTCGGCAAGCGGTTCAACCATGTAGGGTTATCCGTCGTAGTGTTATCCCGCGTCATGGTCATTGTGATAGAGAGTGTGTTGATATGTGTGCCGAGTGTGTAAACCGCAATCGAAGAGCCATGGACGATGATAGAAGCCAACACGATGAACGAAGTCACCGGCCAAATCAACTGAATGGAGATATAGTTCGAGCTATTCGGATCAGATGGTAGTGTAGCCAATGGTGTAGTATGCCCATGTTCCAACTCTGCTCTCGCGAGGATAGAAATGAAAATGGCACCAACTCCAATCGGTCCAAAATGTCCACAAAAGAGTGCCTCGCGCCATGTCTTGATATCTGGGATAAACGGCTTAAGCGCCAGGATCGCCGGGATCCTCCTGAACAACAGAATAAGAATCGAGATGACGACCAGTCGCCATGGGGTCACGCCCAATGCAGGAGCGTTGAAGCTCTCCCAAGGAACTATCGCGCCAAAGTAGACAAACAAACTCAAGTTGAGCAACAAATCAATAACGTTCGAAACGTGTGATTCTTCCGTCTTCTTGGAAAACCACCCATCCCAAGCAAACGCCGTACCAGCCGAGAACGCGACCAACAAATCATCCGTCCCGAGTAGTGTCCCGGCACCAGCACAAAACATCGACAACACGAAGTAGAACACGAGAAACGACTCACGATCAATGAGATTATGGTTCTCCGCATACTTGATCGATTGCCGACCAACATAGCCGATGAAAGCCCCAAGCGCACACCCGAAAACAACTTCATACAGAATTGTGAGGAGGATCCAGTCACGGATCGCGGGGCCGGCTTTGTATTCGTCGAGGATGATGTAAAGCGCGAGATAGAGAAACGGGAACGCCATCCCGTCATTACACCCCGATTCGGCCGACAAAAGATTTCGGAGATGTCCAGGGACGCGTTTCGCAAACTTTCCCTTTCCAACGACGGAGGACGCGAGGACCGGGTCTGTAGCGGTGATACAAGCCGCAACCGCCAAACTCTCCGCAAAATTCAGTTTCGGCAATAGTGCCCACATGAACAGTGACGAGATGAGCCAGCCGAAGGTCATGACGGGGAGGAGGAGGATCGCGACGGAGACCCAATGGCGTTTCATGTATTTCTTAGGCAACTCGACGCCGACGGCGAAGATTTGGACGATGAGGACGATGCGGGTTAGTTCAAGGGTAATTTGGTCGACGTTACCCCAGGTTTCGGGGGCGAACAAGTTCAAACAATGGGGGCCAAAGATGATGCCGACGATTGTAGCGACGGCTAGAACAAACAAACGTCAGTGAATCCTTGTTGGAGAGGAGGAGAAGACGGGAGCGACGCACTGGCTTCACCGATATATAACTTTTCCTTAATGAACAAACTCAACAACGAGAAAATGGTAACGAAGCCTCCCAAGATAGCATACGCCAAATGAGGTTTGTTCACCCCGAAATGGTCCCAACCCCATACCGGGCTCGCCCATCCCAGGACCAGTAGGAAAGGCGCTATCTGCTGCAGCGAGCTTCCTCTCATCAATCGTTGTGGTGAGTGAGAGGGGGTATATGCTGCCCTTGTTGACTGGGTGACTTGGTGGTGAGGTTTACGAGCGCACATGCATAGTAGAACGTAGAATATGGTGGTGGAGGCGAAGTGCATGATCGTGCGGATCGCCTATGCGGGATGATGACTTAACAGGAATCAGAGGGAACGAGTGACGAGGAGTGTGAAGAAAACCGAGGACCTGTCAATAGACGCGACGGCCAGTGAGCTTCATCCGAGGAATAGGGAATATAGACGACGGCCCGTTCGAGAGGCCTCTGTAGCGAGCGGGACGAGTCAGCACGGGAGGATCTCGGATCAATCTTGGCGTGCATGGCGGGTACATTCCGAGCATCAAGCTTCTGAGCCGGATCACTGAGCACCGCATACATCCCCGACAACTCCATGTGCAATACCAATCCCATTAGCAAGGTATCTGTAGCCATAATCATACAACCCCAAACAAACCAACTGCATCTCCTCATCCCAATAGTAGTAAGGACAATCACGACACATCCATCCTGTCATCCCCTTCCCTCCCCCCCTCCTGCCCCTCCCTCTCCCTCTCCAACCCTTTAACCTCCTCCCCAAACTTTCCCTTCCAAACCTCCTCAACAAACGCCCGCCAGCCCGGCGCAACAACCCCCTCCACGTCCCCACTTCCTACAACCCTCTTCAACCCAACCACAGCCCTCAAAACCGAACGTTGCAGTTCCGCGTTTTTCTCAATATCCTGCTTCACGGCAGTTTCCTTAAGTTTCGTCTCAAGCAACGCACGGAACTTCGCCGCGAGAGAATCGAGTGCGGGGAGGAGGATGGCGGTAACCCCATCGCCAGGGAGTGTAGGGAGTTTCGTGAGGATGAGACAGGAGAGAACCTTGATATCATGCCCATCATCCAAACCTCTAACCAGGACTTCGAGGAATCGGGCACGGGATGTGGGATCGATGGTATCGTTGAAGTCGGAGAAGACAGGGTCGAGGAGGACGTACATCGTCTCAAATGCGCTCTTGCGTAGTTCGAGTCCGTCGTCGACCTTGTGCTTGAAAGGGCCCATCTGGACTTCGCGGACCAACTCGGGTCTAATACGCGTTTCCTCCAAAAGAAGTGGTAGGATACGGTGCAAGTGCTCCCGGATCAAAGCAGGACGGTTATGCGCAGCACTATTCAGCGCAAACAGAGCGAGACGACGAACAGAAAGATCCGCATCCTCAAGAAGCGAAAGGAAATCCTGAATAAGAGGACGAAGAAGATCCTCCGTCGATGCAGAAGTTGACGTGGTCTCCGTAAAAGTATAGCGAACAGCGGAGATAACACTCGCCCTCGCCGCCGCACTCTCATTCTTCATCCTCGCCCTCAACTCTGGCAAGAAAATCTCCGGACGAACGAGCGTTAACCGCCCCGCACACTCAGCTGCAACAGTCCTATTCGCATCATCATCCTCCTCTGCCTCATCCGCAACCCTCTTCCAGATAACCCCAGCACTATCCTTCAACACAGTCGACTCAGCCGCCGACGCACCCTTAATCACCTCCTTCAACGCCGAAAGCAAAAGCCGCCTCTCACTCTTCTCCTCATCCATCCTCTTCAACAACACCGGCAAATAAACCCCCAAATTTCCAACCGCAACATTACCAACCGCATACGCCGCCGCACTCCTCACCTCCTCAGACGGATTAACAAACTGCCCCGTCAACATCTCAACCACCTCCCCGCCCAAATCAACCTCCTTCCCCACCTCCCCAATCGTCATAAGACACAACGTCCTCCTATCCTCCTTCGTCTTCGGCGCCCGGACTTCCCCAATAAATGCCTCCACCCGCCCCTGCGCCCCATTAACCACAACCGTCGCCAACACCCGTGCCGCGATGCCAATTTCCCCCTTCGAGATATCATCAGCCATGATACCATCAATGAGTTGATCACCCGCCCCATGAACCGCAAGTACCTCCGCCGCTTCAACGAGGTGATCGAGCACTGCACCACCACCCTGCACAACACCCTCCTTCATCAACCCCAACACCTTCGGAACAAGAACATGTGCCGCGGACCCCGATCCGGCAGCGACGAGAGCGGTCATATACGACAACGCAACAGCAAGCACATTCATATCCTCCGTACTCAACAACTCCGCCCCGCCACGGATTAACTGTCCTTCCAACTCACCCGCCCCAGCCTCAACTCCAACCTTCCGAACAAGCGCCGTCAAACTCGTCAACGCCGCAACCCTGATGCCCCGATTCGCCTTCCTCAACAACCCCCCCAACTCCCCCATAACCGCCCTAACCCACCCCGCATCGACCTGTACCCCACTCCCCGCAATCTCACTGATTGCCCTACACGCCACCAACCTCGTCGTCTCATTCCGCAACCTCTCCAACAAAACCTCGCTCCCCCTCTTCCCCTCCTCCGCGCCCAATCCCCACGCGCAAGATGCAACACATCTCCCCAGCCCCAACACAGCAACCTCCCTCACCTCAGCATCGACATCCGCCGACGCCGCTCTCTCCACAAACACGCCAAAGAGCTTCTTGACAACCTCATCCAACCCTTGCGCCTGTGAGAGGCACGGAATGAGATCGATACAAGTCTGTACCGCACAAGCGGATGTTTTGTAGAACTTATCACCCACAGCCCCAACCACCGCATCCACGAGCTCAGACATACGTGTCTTCACCCCCCCAGCACCAGCTCCAATCGCCGCCAACGCTTGCACGAACCTGAGAGCCTCCATCCTAAGCCCATTAACGTTCGCCGCGCTCCCCGCGCCAGAAGACGTCAACGTGGCCCTCGTCGCACTCGTCCCGACAGCGATGAGCCCCTCGTCAACCTCAGCCCCAAGAATCGCAACGATCCCGCGAAGTGCGGTAAAGCACGCGAGTTTAGTGTTAACACTCGCAGACGTACTCGAGAGCTGCTTATTCAACGCCTTGATCACCTTCGGCAACAACCCCTTCAACGCCTCCACATTCGCATTCCCAGTCTTCGTCGAAGCCATAGCCACGGCCAGATCCGTACTCTCCCTCCTCCTCTTCTTACCACTGGACACAGCTGTACCACCAGCACCAGCACCAACACCCGCCACCGCAGTGGAAGCCATCAACAGCTGCGTAAAAGCGCTAATGACATCAACCCTAACACTCTCCTCCCTCTCCCCAAACCTCGCGACCAAGATGGGTGCGATATCCCTCCATCCCCTCTCCGCCCCGACGATGGGGATAGACGCTCCCAGGATCTTGACCGCGATGCGCCGGATTTTCCAGCTGACGTCTTCGTCGTCGTCGTACTCACCCTCATCATCATCGAAATCGTCATCATCCCCCTCATCGTCGTCATCCATGTCATCATCACCCCCCTCCTCCTCGTCTTCAACAGCATAATTCGGATCATATTTAATCCATTTCCCAGCGATCTCAATACACGTCCCAACATCCTCCCTCATCTCCCCCGGACAGGCCACCAAAAACCCCTCGAGGGCAACAATCCCACTCTCCCGAATCTCCTCATCATCGACCTCGAGCGCCTCATACACACTCGCCAACAACCCCCTCAAATACGGACCCAAACGACGGGGCACACTTCGCGCGAGTTCGGAGAGGAGGGTAATTAGGGTTTTGGTGATATCGTGCGTTCCCTGCGTCGTCAATTTCTCGATGATGAGGGAGATGAGCAACGAAAAAGATTGAGGGGAGACTGTGCGGGACCAGGCGCCGAGGGCCGTCACGGCGCGTTTTCGGACTGCGGGACGGGGGGAGTCGAGGAATGTGATGAGGGTTGATTCGAGATCCGCGGACTGGGAACCGATGTGCTCGGGGAAGCGGGAGATGAGTTCGATTACCACGTCCAAGAAGGTTTCGAGTTCGTGTCCGGCTTTGAGAGCGCCGATCAAGTGTGGCAACAGACGGTCGGTGAGGGTCGCTGCGGCGGGGGAAGATGTCGGGATGGAGATGATGCACGTGCGTAGAGCGGTGGAGGAGATGTCGTTTACCTCCCCGTTCGACGAAGATTTTCTCCCATCCGTAACTGTTCCAACGGTGAGGGTATCGAGGATGCTCATCAATTGTATGGGTCTACACTTCGTAACCAACGGGGCGAGACTGTTCCAAATCGTTAGCGAACATGACTAGTTATATCCGATGCAGAATTGGAACCATTTAACAGCCAAATTCTGAACCTCCCCATTCTTATCCTCCAAAGCCTTCAACACACCCTGCACAACCTTCTTACTCATCCCCTCATCCAACGTCAATCCCGGTTTCTGGAGTTCTGTAGTCAAGTCCGCCAGAGCCATGTAGCGGAAATCTGTATCTGGGTTTGTCATCCTCTCCAGGAGGGACGACATTGTTTGTAGAGTTGAAGCTGACATGATTGACGATGGTCGACGATCAACCGTCTTGCGCTGGTGGGGGGTTTGGAGGTTGGTGGGGGATGCAGGGGGATGCAGGGGGTGCAGGAGCGGAGCAGCCGTGGGAAGAACCGACCAGAGGCCCAAGGGATCTCGCCGTGACACCGGGACGCCCATCGCTAGGTTTTCGTCCCTTCACTGCACCCCGCACGCTGGCCCTGGGCAGCTCCCAAGCTCCCACGCTCCCCCCCGGGCCTTCCAAGCACGCGCATGCACCAGCTGCAGTCCGCCACACCTTAATCCCAACAAACCGCCCTCCGATCAAAACACCGTTCGCCGATCAAGAAACGAGTCATGGCCGAAGATCGATCCCGTCCCATCGTCGGCACAGATCTGAAAGTCGTCGCAGACTACATCAAAACAGGCAAAGGTACGAATCGCTGACCATCTATCCCCCATACTGCCTGACACAAGCGCTACCCGCAGCAAAAGCTATTCACCTCTTTACCGGCGCCGGAATCTCCACCTCCTCTGGAATCCCAGACTTCCGATCCCCTACGACAGGGCTCTACGCAAACCTCGCCCGCCTGAACCTCCCCTACGCAGAAGCCGTCTTTGATATCGATTTTTTTCGGCATAACCCCTACCCATTCTACGAACTCGCTCGCGAACTATGGCCGGGCCGGTACAAACCCACGACAACACACGCTTTCATCCGGCTGCTCCAGGAAAAAAAGCTGCTGGGGCGGTGTTGGTCGCAGAATATCGATACGCTGGAGAGGAGGGCTGGGGTTAGTGGTGAGAGGTTGGTGGAGGCACACGGCAGTTTTGCGGGCGCGAGGTGTATCAACCCGAGGTGCGCGACAACCATGTCGCAAGAGGAGGTGCGCAAACACGTCTTCGCCGTACCGTCCACGGTGCCGACATGCCATAAATGTGCGAGCTACGTGAAACCCAACATCACCTTCTTCGGCGAGAACCTACCGGGCGCGTTTTTCGCGTCGCTGCCGAGTCTGGGGGAGGCGGACTTGGCGATTGTGATTGGGACGTCGTTGACGGTGTATCCATTCGCTGGGTTAGTCAAGAAAGTGCGATGTCCAAGAGTGTTGATAAATATGCAGTGCGTGGGGGATTTCGATGAGGAGGAGGACGTGGTGTGGGAGGGCGCGTGTGATCAGGGCGTCGAGGAGTTATGTGCGGAACTGGGGTGGACGAAGGAGCTGCATGAGATATACGACACGTTCACTTTGGACGAAGAAGTCGCCGACATGGAGCAGAAGGATGCGAAGGACGAGGTGGAAGAGATGACGGAGGCTGTGGAGAAGGGGCTCAAGATTGATGGGGAGGAGAATGGAGGTCGGAGGGATGGGAAGGAGGAGGATGTACCGGCGTGGATGATCTGGCGGAAACCGAAGATGTAGACGAGGTTTTGCTTGACAAGTGGTTACAGTACACGATATTTACCCTATAGCTATAGTTCTTTGCGTAGCCGTCTTCTAAGCCCCAACGCATGGCGCCCTCACAACCACCAAGGTCCCCCACACCCGCCCCACGGACAGCGGTACCGACGAACAAGCAACCGACAAGGTACCCAGAGCCTCGACGAATGAAAATGAGAGATTCGAGATAACATCGCTAAGCATTTCGCTAACGCACCCATAACGGGGTAAGCGAGGGAACCGGCACCGTTGCGTGGAAGCCATGACCTCGTTGGCCGTTTTACACCAGATACCTTGGAGGTTCCGCTGGAGATGGGAGAGTGTCATGCATGGAGGGAAAGTTCGGGATGCATAGAGAATAAAATGTGCAGAGGGCCCACCACCGGGTGAATGGTTTCCTACACGAGACAGGATGAAGTCAACACGGGTCATCGCAGCGCTGGCACTGTCGCTCCACGCCCTCGTCTTTGCGCAGACGACGGGTACAAATACCACGAGTATCGGTGACTTGGATTGTCACGCGGAGTCTACGACGAATATCCACTGTACCGATACCGAGGCGTCGGAGGCGTACGAGATGCATTGTCACGACGTCGACTCCGGCATGCAATACTGTCACGATCAGTACGAAAACGACTGGTACTTCACTGGAGGAATCACGTTGCATGAGGAGGAGGAGTCGACCACCACGGCATCGGCGGCGACTGCGGAAGATGAGCATGTTGGACATAATCACGACCAACACGAGGCTACAAACTCCACATCCACCGCCCACGACGACCACGACGACCACAGCTCCAACTCCACCACCGTCTCCGAATCATGGTACTCGACCTGCCACCTCCACGACGCAGAAATCATGTGTTCCGCCCCCAACGGCACAGAGTTCGTGCTTACCTGCCACGCTCACGGAGGGGAAGAATGGTGCTACGACGCAGATGGTGAGGAGTTCTTGAATGCTGGGTTGATCGACACGGCGGCGTTATTGGCTGGTACGACAGCGGCTGCGGATACAACGGCGAGTGCGAGTAGTGGGGTTACGTGTCACTACCACGCAGGCGTGGAGCACTGTACCGGTTCCGCAGCCACCGAAGCGACTTGTGACGGTTCCACCCGCGCCTACAACATCCCTCTCCGGATTGGTGCATTATTCATCATCCTCGCCACCTCCGGCATCGCAGTCTTCTTCCCCGTCATTCTCCGGCGTTTCACGAAGATGACGACAGGTGGTATCCTCTTCGTCGTCATCAAGCAGTTTGGGACTGGTGTTATTATCTCTACTGCGCTCATCCATTTGTTGACGCATGCGCAGATGATGTTCGCTAGTCCTTGTGTGGGTGAGTTGGGGTATGAGGGGACTGCGACTTCGATCGTCATGGCTGGTATCTTTATTGCGTTTATTGTCGAGTACCTCGGTTACCGCTTCGTCGAGTCTCGCCGCCACGCGCACTCCCGTTCTGCCTCCCTGACTCCCTCAGATGTCTCCCCCAGTGCTACCGCCATCGAAAAGGGTCCCAACAACGTCGCCTCACACCCCGTCCACGGCGCCCACGGTGTCCCCGACGAAGCCCACGCCGAGCCCGAAAGCGTCACCAAACTCAGCGTCGCCGTCATGGAAGCCGGTATCGTCTTCCACTCCATCCTCATCGGTCTCACCCTCGTCGTGGCCGGAGACGACGGTTTCGCGCCTCTCTTCGTCGTCGTTATCTTTCACCAGATGTTCGAGGGTCTCGCACTCGGTGCTAGGATTGCGGAGATGCAGGCTACGATTTCGTATGTTTACCGGTTTACACTTTGTTTGATTTACTCGCTCATCACGCCTATTGGGTGTGCGATTGGTATTGGAGTGTTGGATAAGTTCAACGGGAATGATAAGGGCACCCTGATCACTCTTGGTACGTTGGATGCGTTGAGTGCGGGTGTATTGTTGTACGTTGGGTTGGTGGAGTTGTTGGCGCATGATTGGCTAGCCGGTAGACTGAAGAAGGCTGGCATTGTTGAGACTGGTATTGCATTGGTGAGTCTGATGGCCGGTATGGCGGTCATGAGCTTGCTTGGCAAATGGGCGTAAAACTTGGCTACGGCTATCTTCGAACTTAGGGACTTTAATATAATTATTTATCTCATCAAAAATCCTCAGGCTCCGAATGCCATCTCGTTCAAACAATATGCTCGATTTCAGCAGCGACGAGTGTTGTGACTTGTTTAGGAGACACGACCCCCGTCCCTGACACCTAAGCCCAAATGGCAGGCCTTCATCAATGTTGATCCGCATTACTGCCTGCTGAGGTCGACCTACCAAAGTCACTATGACTCCCAGGCCCCGCTACGCTCCTCCCAAGTCAGGAAAGGGTCTCAAACTGCTCAGCCTAGACGCCCTAAGATTGCTACGGTTGCGCATCTTCAGAACACCGAAGCTAAATTCGAGGGTGACCCAGCTAGGGGCGACAAGCTTGCTGCGCTGTGGGCACTTCAAACCCGCTGGATGTGCTCAAAGCATCACCAAAGCATCTGCTACATTCATCCTCTCAGTGGAGTCCATCGCCGTGTCAAATACATGCATCAAGACCGCTGAACGATTGCTGTTGTCAAGCTTGGTTCTACGGTCACCATCGAAAGGCCTCCCATTTCAGACTCAGTCTTCAAGGACTTTCATGAAGTATTTCAGCGAGCGGATATACCGGCTAGTACAGCCGATTCCCGTCCCATCTCAGCAAGGTATCCAATGCTACCTACTCCGCTGTCTGTGGACATGGTGCATCCATTTAGGCAAGGCACCCCAGCCCCCAACCCCATGAGAGGCTCCAGCCCTCTTATGGGACCAGCAACAGACCCTATCCTGGCCTTCCTAGCCCTTCAATGAAGTTCTTTGGAGGTCTTTTGACGGGAGGGTATGCAAGATTGCGCGCACCTGCAGTGAATTGTGTCAAGAATTCTGCACTTAGCTGTAAAGTCTCCCCGGCCGACGCACCCCCTGCACCCCCGCCATACACATACACCCCCGTACACCTAACCTCCAAATCCCCATCCACCCCCCCGTCTCCTCCAAACCACCACCAATGTCCACATCAAACCCCACCCCAACCCTCCGCGCCCAGCTCTCAACCCACCTCCTCCACTCCGGCGCCTACGACCGAATCAACTCCCACCTCCGTCTCCGTCTCGAGGAATGTGGGTGGAGTAGTGAGATGAGGGCGTTAGCGCGTGGTACGTTGACCGAACGCCTTCCCTACTTGAGCCCGAGTCGTGTGAGGGTCTCGTGTGCTAATGTCGACGTAGAACAATCCAGAGCACAAGGACAAGTCAAGTTCGACCAACTCCTATCCGCAATCGAACAAAAAGGAGTGGAATCCGTTCCCGACACGATCAAGATCGAGATCCTCGGTATGCTGAGAGAGGTGTTGGAGGAGGTCGTGGAGTTGCCTTAGACGACGTTACGGGTAGGTGTATGCTTTGTGGACGAGCGACAATCAGGTATCCCTGGATGTTTTTCTATCTGCGTTCATAGGTCGCATTTATTGACTGGGGTTACAGATGGTACTGCGCTTCGGGACGAGAAGAAGGTGTTGGTGTTGATCGAGGAGGTTTGTGATTGTTTTCTCGGCGTTATTGGAGTTTCTTGTCTTGTCTATTATATGATTGTGCATTTGGTTATTGAAGATACGTAGGAGACGAGTGGGTCGCGTACTAGAGGATGTACCAAGTGGTCTTGGTGATGGAGATGGGCAGATGGATAGATGTGTGATTTGCCACGTGTACTGGTGTATAGCAGAATAGAATCGATTCACTTCATCGATATCGGGCTTCACGGGAGCCTTGGCCTCACACCCACATACAAGTGCTGCTTACAAATACCTGTATCTCCCAATGATCTCATAAACAACTACATGAGTCAACCGCCAACCTTTCCTTGGCGAAGTTCAGCCTATCCCTAGCCTCTCGCTTCTCGGTCATTCGTCGGCATCGCGCTCCTTGCGTCGGCTTTGATGTCGATATCGATACCGGCACGGATCCGGAAGTTCGAAACACACTCGAAATGTAAACCGCACTACGGGCAATTGGCGTGTGTGTAGACCTCTCGACGACCGGCACGCCGACAACGGCCTCGAGCTCGGGTAACTTAGAATTGAGTATTTACGAGAATGTGGGATCCACGAGATGCCGATGGAACGACCTAGATGCTGCTGATGCGCGTCGCTGGCCGAGATTGCAATTGAGCTCGAGCTCGAGCGCCAGCAGCTCGGTCGAGGCAGCACGACGGTGAAAGCTGCTGCTAACCCATCGGTCAGTCAATTGGTAGGCGCTGAGGTCGTGAGAAGCCGCGTAGACCTCAACAAGCTTCACGTATCAGAATTCTCACTCTTCGTATCTCGTGAATTCACGGTCGCTGCGTCATCACCTCAGACTGTCTCAATTGCGCGCAGCCCCGCACTCCGCCCCGAACCCTCCAACGTTTAAATGGGTCTCGGACTCACACCCACCAATTTGTCATCACAACTTCTATAAGAACTCCCCTTCTCCCCTTCCCCCCCCCCACTCCACCAATCTACACAAACTGGTCAATTACAAACACACACAATGTCCGTCATCACCGAAGGCACCAAGCTCCCCTCCGGCACCCTCCACGAATCCAACCCCGGAAACCAACTCTCCACCTCCACCCTCTTCTCAGCCGGCCGCCACATCATCTTCGGCGTCCCCGGTGCCTTCACCCCCGGCTGCCACAAAACCCACCTTCCGGGCTACATCCAAGACTACTCCAAATACACCTCCAAAGGGATCGACTCCATTTCTTGCGTGTCCGTGAACGACGCTTTCGTTATGGCCGCCTGGGGTGAGTCCGTCGGGGCTGATGGAAAAGTTCGGATGTTGGCCGATCCGACGGGGGAGTGGTTGAGGCAAATGGGGTTGGTGTTTGATGCTACGCCGTTGTTGGGGAATGAGCGTGCGAAGAGGTTTTCGTTGGTTGTGGAGGATGGGGTTGTCAAGAGGGTTAATGTTGAGGAGGATAATACTGGGTTGACGTGTTCTTTGTCGAATGTTTTGTTTGACCAGCTTTGAATCCTGGCGGGTCGGGGTGTGAAGCGGGCGAAGATTTGAAGTGAAGTGAAGGGTGAGTGTTTGGATACGATTTGAGAGAAGATATAAGGGCTGGATATATCAGAGATACACTGAATTGATTCTATCGCGTTGCGCGCCATGCACATCGATCCATCTCCCTAGCAACACCCTCGCTCATCCGTGTGTCGAGTCCATTCTATAACCGATTTTGCGTATCATACCTTGTTGTGCACCTTCTTCGCGGCGGCACGGTACCTCCGTGATTCTCCTAACACTCAGCCCTGCACCTCCATCTTCATCATATCGTACAGACAAGCGCTGAGCACCGCGAAGCACTCGTGCCTCTCACGCCAGCGGCCCCGGCCCCCTCTGGTGATCCATATCGTGCACCACAATTCCCGTACACAGCATATATCCCCACCAATTTCCTCGAAATGAGCCCACCGCCCACCGGCCACACCCACACTACACCTTCCTCTTCTCCCCCGTTCCACCCACCGCTCTCATGACAACCCCCACCAAACTCCCCACAAAAAGCCCCCCACACCCCCCCACAACCCCCGGCACCCCACCCCCCTGCCACCCCCTCCCCCAATCCAACAAGCCCACCCCTGCACTCGCCCAAACACCCCCTACCACCCCCATCCCCGCCGCAACCACTTCCATTTCAGACGACAAAAAAGAGGTGGAAGACATGAGACTGAGGGGAATCCGGGAGTAGACGTGGATGGAGAGGAGGGGGTAGAGCGTGAGGAGGGCGATGTGGAGGGTGAGGAGGAGGGTCGGGCGGGAGGTGGGTGCGTGGAAGAGGAATAGTACCCCTAAAATCAACGGCAGTGTCAGTGCCGTGAAAATCGTGGAAAGAAGCATATTCTAGTAAATGTGAGCCAAGAAGAACAAGGGTCAGAGAGAGGGAATGGTAGTACAGGCACAGCAACCCCCAACCGATTCCTCATCTTCGTCCTATGTCGCCGAGGAATGATCCAGTAATACGTCAACCCCCATCTCGAGAACAGGGTCGTCAACAATAACACGGTATTCGTTAGTACATTTGCCGGATCCTGTGTTCTGAGGGCGTATGTGGTTGCGAGGAGGGGGAGGGAGTTTAGGAGGATGAAGGGTTTGTGCATGGCTGCTGTGAGCGTTTGGCGGATCGAGCAGTGCTGGTCGTGACTTTTGCGTTTGGCTGTATCAGGAGAATTTTGCAAAGTAGACTCGGGGAGCTCAACTGGGTGTAACGTAGACACGCCTTCACGCGCAAACAGCGCCTTTCCCTTGACCCCGCTCACCACCGGCACCAGCTCTGCTATGCGTGCCAGCTGCTCAAGACATACCAGCTTTTTGCACACTGCGAGCAGATGCACACGATCCGTGTTTGAAGCAGGCCTGTCCGGGGACGGAGAGAACCGTTCACGTCGCTCACATCGTCCGCGAAGCAGTCACGACATGGGCTTTGACTCCCATACCGTGGTGCGAGGTCAAGCCGTCGACAATAACCCCGAGGCGGCGAAAGTTTCGCTTTCACTGTATAAATCGCTTCTCGTTAACGCTGCAATGTTGCCAGATCTACATGCCCGCAAGCATTTCACAACTGCTATTCGTTCTATGTTCCGGTCAGGCAGGAAGACAGAATTAACGAGTGCGCAAGAAGACCTGAGGAAACTCCAGAAGGCAAACATGGGTAACCTCAAAGCCTTGGAGGAGGTATTGGAGCACACGTATGGACTTCGCGGGAAGCGACGTGATGTATTTCTGAAGTCTGCCCTTCCTCCAACTCCTCGAGCTGCTCCGCTCGTACCGGGAGACTGGAGAACAGTCCCACCGGTGATCCCAGAGCCATTTACAGCACTTGCCAAGAGCCAGTTTCCAAAGAAACGTATTGAGGTGGTATTGCCCATCCCAACCGACCCCACCAAAACCCTGACGCCCAAACGAGAAGCCAATTTTCGGAAAAGGCATTTCCAGGAACTGAGGAAGAAAATCATCGCTCCAATACCTCGCTACTTGGTTGAGAGCATTGAACAGCGGCTGCGAGAGCCAGAGACACTTATACCTCCATTAACGGAGTTGCAGAAACAAAGGCTTGCAAAGATGTTCAGAGATCCTGATCCAAAAGCAACAAGAGGCACTCGCACCCTAACACCCAGATTCTTGTCACGAATGTACCGAAGGCTTCTAAATGAAGCATATATCCTGGAGAAAGACTCCAGTACAGGCAAATGGTTTGTTGCAAGGAGTGAAGAACGGCAACAAGCGAAGACCTTCCCGGTCGGGACATCCGATATGTTTGAAGGCATGGACGAGAAAGGAAACGTTATTTCGATACCCACGCATGCACCATGCTCGCCATCACCGACCTCGACCCTCACAGCCCCAAAGCACTAACCCACCTAGAAACCGCCGCAACACACGGCCTCCTCCCCCCACCCCGAAGCAGCGCACAACCTCGGCGAACGGCATCGTCTACTCAACAATAAGAAGTTGGCGCAAGAATGGTACGAAGTAGCTGCGCGAGATGGCTTTCAGATTAGTATGTTGAATTTGGGGATGATGCTTAAAGAAAAGGGCGAGACCAAAACGGGCGAGGGGTGTGGTTGGACGCTGCGAGGAGGAGTGAAGGGAAAGTTGCGGTGGATGTGGAGAGGTATCTGGGGGAGCTGGAGAGGGAGGGGGCGTTGGAATGGGATTCTTGCTGGCGTGAGCACGGCGTAGATCTAGCATGAGGGACATCCAGCTGGACATGGAACCCATTCGGGCATCGATGAAGTTTGGGTGGATAAGAGATTGATGGAGATGTCACAAAGTTTGACTGCATTCTACCATGTGTACCAGATCAATAAGCGGTCTGGACTCTGAATTGATCAGGGCCAAAGTCGGTCTGGTCTCAACCAGGATGATAGCATGGAACAATGAATGCTGCCATGTCTACTGGGGGATGTGCGTGCTGATTTTTACTGTCGACCTACTTGACATCGTAGAACACAAGATTGGGACACCAACGTGCGTAGAATACTTAAAGTATTGTCGTTCAGCAAGCCAAACAGATGGCACAATCCATCAAATCTTTCATCTGACAACCACGGGTAAAGGTCAGAAAAATGGTTCTTTCTTCACTGCCCTATCGACATCAAGATATATTAGGTTATCCATCCCCATCTCCTCATCACCTTCTCCCCCTACCAACATCCACGCCCAAACCCGAGTCCAAATCCGCGGCTCAAAGGTCTCCAGAAACGAAAAACAAAAGCACGAAACAAAAAAAGAGATTAACGCCCGAAAACCGTCACCGTCACCTTCACCATCGCCATCGCCCTAAAGCAAAATTCCATCCCACACATAAATGGTATCCGATCCCACTCCCACTCCTCCGCCTCATCCCTCTCTCAATCTCCCACAAAGCTCGAGGAGCGCCGGCTCACAAGGTTCGCCCCCTACCGCTTCTCATCCGGCCAATAATCCCCCCTCCTAAACCCCAGCGCAGGCCTAAACCCCGGCACCGACACCGACGCTCCAACATCCTCATCCGTCATCCTCTCCTCCACCTCCTTTACCACCTCGATCCGATCCCTATCACTCTGACTCTGACCGTGGAGGAGTCCAACGGTGCTCGTACTCATATTAATATTCCCAGAGGACGAAAGCGTTTGTAGTGCGATAGACGACGCACCACCAGCATCACCACTACCACCACCCCCTGTTGCCGTAAGCGCGACGGAGCTGCTGCTAGTGTTCGGTGGTCCCCTATGTAGGAACGTCGAGGTGCCTGGTGCGGGGTTGACAGATGCTGCCACTGCCGAGGTTGCCGCGACCGTAGGCGCCGGATAATGAAACCTCTTCACAATCCGCCTGCACTGCTCCTTGTCTTCCCGTTCCCCGTGTCCACCCCCCTCTCCTTCCCTCGCAGCCCCAACCCCTGCCTCTGTTCGTCGAAGCTCGGAAGTGCTAACGTTGCCGACGCCAGCAGTACCGATACTAGAACCCCCCCTCAACGTCACCCCACCCCCCGAGAAAGAGGCAGTGCTGTCGACATCACACACCTCCATCGGTCCCATTTCCAAACTCGCTTCGTCTGCGCCGAAGGATCGAAGGGTTCGTGCTCGGCGTGTCCAGCCCAAGAACCTGCTGGTGTAGGTGGTCGTTGTACTTTGTTGGTTGCCCAAGACGCTAGCGGCGCCGTCCTGCTCTCGTCTCACCGAAGCCGAAGCATGGTTATTCGCACTCCACCCCTTCGCCCCCTCCTTCCCTTTCCCTTCACCACCACCCCCAGCCCCCGCCATCCGTAAATCATCCTCCCAAACCCTCATCCCAAGCACCCCACCCCTCTCCTCCCTCCTCTCCGCCTCCCTAACCCGCCCAACCCACTCCCAAACAACCAAACTCGCCCCCAACTCCCCAACATGCCTCACATAATCCAACCACGCAAAACACTCTTTACTCGTCGTTAAGTCCAGCGCAAAGAACACAACGGGGGAGAATGCCGACACGAGGGAGAGAAGGGCGAGGAGCCAGACGCTCACGATGGGTACACGAAAGTGAGTCGAGAGGGAGGAGGGGGTCGGGGAGAGGGAGAGTGGGGAGAGAGGGTATGCGTGCCGGCGGTGGAGGAGGGACCAATACGTGATCCACGCTGCGTAGATAATCGATATCCCGATACTCAGCAAATACGCGATCCAAGGTAGCGCACCGACGAAACGCTTATAGGGCGCTGGACCTTGAAATTGGGTATCGTCCGTGTCGGATGTTGATGGGAGGAATTCTTGGAGGGCGGAGAAGATTGTGGTTGTTAGGATAACGACTAATCCGCCGAGGAGTTTGCGTTTTAGGTGACGCCGGCGGGTGGAGAGTCGGCAAAGAGTCTGTAACTGCGCGAACCATAACAGTAGCATCGTTACCAGCCCAAGCGCTTTCATCCCGGACGAGTTATGTAGGTCGTCAAGGTTTGACATATCGTACGGTTCTCCCGCAAGGTAATCCTCCTTCATCACATTCGAAATTTGCGCCATTGTTACTGTCAGGACTGCGCATACACCCGTCGTCGCCGCTGTCTGGAACCACGGTTTCGTTTGTTTCGAGGCGAGGAGCATGATGAGGAGACACCACGCCAGCACCGTAGACCCCGAGATCGCGAATGATTGTGGGGTCGACGAGTATGCGAAGGGTGTATGCAGCCCACTGAGCGTGTTGGGATCCACTATCCCGTCACCGGACGAATCATGCAACGCAACACTCGCACTACTCAAATTACTCCCTGACGCGGTCACCGATGTCTGTGGTTCGTAACACTCCAACGTATAAGTCGTCGTCCAAACCTCCGTCCCATTTGCCATGACCACGGTCGAATTACTCCTAATCTGCGGCGTCGAACAGCGTAACTCGCTCGGCGTACTACTCTCCACCGCGTCATCCCCACTACTCGTCGTCGTAAACACCAGATCGAACCCGTCGTCGGCGTCGTCGGTGGTCGAGCCGGTGGACATGATGAAACCTTCTATAGCAGCCGCTGGGGGAGGTCGAGGTGGTCGAGGTGGTCGCGGGGGTCGTCGGCGTGTGAGAGGGTGTGTACGGCGTTGTCTTGGCATTTCGTGGTGTAGGTGTGGTTTTGCAGTGCGCGTGCAGCTGTGCCTGGATCCTCCGTTGCTTTGATCTGGTCGTACTGAACTCCTCAATGGATCAAGAGGTAGACGATGAGTCCAATAGACCGTTTGGGAAGCTTGATCTCTTCCTCAGCAGCTGCTGCGTATGACTATCAGAGGGAGCGGCTCGCACTTCGCTTCACTCACGATTATCCCGTCTCTTACACCGCCTGCATGCCTCACCCGTGGCGTGCCTTCCCGGTGCCCTTCCGAACGGCAACTGCATGATAAGCGAATCCGCGATTTAACCCGTCTCTTGCAATTGATTCGCCGAAGTAGCTATAGATTGCTTGTCTTCAAGCTCGCTCATCTACCCGTATCAAGCAGCATCCTCTCACGGGGTGGAGGCACCGCTCAATGCCTCCGGGATGAATGCGCAAGCTACGACGACGGATCGATATGTATCTTCCTACCCCTCCCTCACCCCCTCCGAATTCGAAGTGGCATGTCTACACCTCCAATCACAGTTCCTGAGGGGTGGTGTAGAGTGTACATGGCATCGCCCACCACCCCCACGGTCACCCTGGTACCGGTCGGTGGTGGAGGAACAGCCGGGATATTTGTCGATCCGAGTGTATCGCAATTCAGCTACAACTTCAGATCCAACCGCTGACGACGACGACGACGACGACGCAAATCTGGACGTGGGCGTGGACGAGATCGAATTGGAAGACATCGACGATCCAGCCCTCGCTCCCCCCACCCATGACCACCACCAAAACGGCTCCAATGTCACACTCCCGATCGTCGGCTACTACCACATCCTCCTATCCCCAACCTACCGCCTCCCCATTCTCTACTTCCGCTTCATCTCCCCTCACCCTAACCCCCTTACCCCAATCCTCCTCTCCCCCGACAACCAAAACCAAAACCAAAACCAAAACCAGAACGCAGACACGATCGAAATCCAAGGCGCGTTGAGTATAGCCGAACATCCCCTCCTAGGCGGGACTTGGTGGATGATACATCCGTGTATGACGGGGGATGCGATGATGGATGTACTCGACAGCGACATAGACACAGGCAGGGTCACGGCGGAGGAGTATATGGGCCTTTGGATGGGTGTTGCTGGGAGCGTGGTGGGGCTCGGGATACCCCTTCCCATGGCCAGGCAGTGACTAGGGAAGAGGACTATCGAGGGATGGGAATTGAAGAGGGTGTGTATGTGGTGATCAAACCGGCCGGTGCCAGACCTCTTGGGTATATTATCAAACCGAAAGAAGAAAGAAAAAAAAGTCCAGCAATTCCCCTCTCTCTCCCTGATGCCCAAACGATGCAAACTGCAAACTGCAAACTGTCTTTGATGTGTGTGGTATATCGTGGTATTCAGACGTTCTGGTATTCGAGAATTGGTTCCCCGATTTCGGTTAGTTCTGGGATAGTGCATTTCAGGTCGAAGGCTTTCGATAGGACGATTTTGAAAATCTATCGTCTTGTCAGCACACCACTCATCCGATCTCTCAGTCTCCCACCGGCTCGGTCGTCAACGGCTCGGTCGTCAACGGCTCGGTCGTCAACGGCTCGGCCTCACTCACCTTCTGCACATTGATCGAACTCGCCGTCGAACAAAAAATCAAACTCGCCTTCATCGCCCTCGCAAACCTCCTCGCCTGTTTCGTAACCTCCTCCTGCTCCTCCCTCCCAAAGCCCGCAAAGGTGTCATACTTGGTCCCCACCAAAAACGGAATCGCGGCTTTATTAAACCCGCGACTCTGTCGATACCACTCTTTCACACTATTCAGCGTACTCTTCCGGGTCAGGTCGAAGAGGAAGAGAAGAGCGACCGCGTCATTGCAGACGAGTGGGAGCATGTTGACGAACTCGCGTTGCCCACCGAGGTCCCAGATCGAGAAAGTGATTTCGGTTGCGCGGATTGAGATTGTTTTTTCCATGAAGTTTACGCCGAGGGTTTGGATGTAGTCTTCGTCGAAGGAGCCTTCGACGTATTTTACCATGAGGGAGGTTTTGCCGATTTGGGCGTCGCCGACCATGCCGACTTTGATGACGACGCTGGGAGGAGGGAGGGTTAGCAGGGTTCGTGGTTAGAGGGGGTGCCATACCTGGACTTCTTGTCCGCCTGTTGGAGTTCTCGTGAGGATGACATACCGGGACCAATTGCTCACTCTGTTTCCCATGCTGACGTGCGTGGTGCCTGGGCTACTTAGAACCCCTCTCAGTTGCACTATAGGTCCGGAGTGGCGATGGGCACAGACCCCCAGCGTCGACAGTTGCCAGCGTCTCGATTGAAGGCACTACCACTAGGACCGCCTACGTTTGGGTGGCTGTATGCCTGGAGCTTTTCATCGGGCATCGCATACACGACCGCGGCTGAAGGAATGATACGAACGGAGTTGGAGTTTTGATGCATTTTTTGAGTGATTTTGGAGCATATGAGCGATGAGCTGAGAGCAAGAAAGTGCATTAACAGTCAAAATCCCACGGATCCCCAACAACGCGGGTACCTTTAGCCGGGGCCTTGGGTACCCCGCGCTCACGTGTTCCCGACCCCCACGACCCCCGCTCCAACATGCTTCCGTGCACCCAACGCACCCTCGTATATCACGATCCCAATAGCCAGTATGCCTCCCCGATGATCACTTGTAACATAAAAACACAAAATGTCAGCAGTACGTCCACCGATACCTCCAGCAGCACGAATCCCATCAGGGATGAATCATCAAGATGCGGGAGCGCATGATTCGCGGTATGCTGTTTTACCCATGGATGATCGCGATGTTGAAATGTCCGAGATGATCCTCCACTCCCATGGTGGCTCATCACCTCCGATCACCACCACGTCAAGTACTCCTCCTTCGTCCTCGCACAAACTCGTCTCCGAACAAAACCGCTCCACGCGAGAAGTCCTCCTAAACTTCACCTTCGCCGGACTATCATGCATGACCGGCGCACTCTTCACGAATCCCTTCGATATCGTCAAAGTCCGACAACAGCTTTCTCCCACACTGCGGTCTCCGCCATTCTACGCACTGATCAAAAGTATGTTACGTACGGAGGGGATGAGCGGGTTCATGAAGGGTGTATCGGCGAGTTTATCGCGCGAGGCGACGTATAGTACGATCCGGTTCGGTGCCTACGACTTTTTCAAAGGGTTCTTGCACAAAGTCTCCGGTGGGAGGTTGGACGAGCGCGGGTTTGGGAATAAGGTAATGAGTGGACTGGCAAGCGGGTGTATCGGCGCATCCCTCGCAAACCCCACCGATCTCCTCAAAATCCGGCTCCAGGCTCCTTCGACACCCCACACCCACCTCCTCCCAACCCTCTCCTTCCTCCTCCGCGAACGCGGGTTCCTGGGACTCTACCGCGCATGCCTCCCCACCACGATCCGAGCAGCGTTATTGACGAGTTCACAATTAGCCAGCTACGACCACACGAAGCACTTTTTGATGGAGTGGGGTGGGATGCGTGAAGGGTTTGGGTTACATTTTGCTAGTAGTGCGGTTGCGGGGGGTGTTTGTTCTTTTGTGAGTGCGCCGGTGGATGTCATCAAAGTACGGATTATGAATGCTCCCACCACTGCGCCCACCGCCGTCTCCGTCCCCGTCTCGGTATCGCCCTCACCCTCGCCCTCGCCCCTCGGCGCTCTCGCTACAAACATACAGACACCAGGAAATATTTTGAAGCAAGCATACGCAACCGGAGCCCCACCGGGCGTGATCGGCACAACCATGAAAATCTACCACGAAGAGGGGCTTCGAGCGTTCTTTAGGGGTGGGTTTATGTGTTGGATGAGGTTGTGGCCACATACGGTGATTAGTTTGATGGTGTTTGAGCAGTTGAGGAGGTGGGCTGGGATTGAGCCTATTTAACGTGAGAAGGAGGGAGTAGGGAGATGGAGCGGAAGGGAATGTTACGGATGAGAGGAGGGCAAGTTTCGGTAGTGGCATGAGGCCTATATGAATAGCCTATACCAAGCTAATCTGGAACATTCGTGATGTCTTTTGTTCTCCTACAGGGGCCGTAAGTCCATGAAAACTGGTTGAAGTAGTCTTGAGTTGACGTGGGAAGTACAGCCGAGACTTGCGTTTCATGGTACCGGTACCCCGCAGCGGCAACATGAGCCGAACGACGACGATTTATCTCGTCATCGACCATGAACAGACTGATATCAATCGCAACTCACGTCCAACACCAACGACCATCACAACTTACAAGAAAGATGTCTTCTATTCCTACGATCAAACCGTCCCAGGAAGTATCCATTCCCGCAATCGGTTACGGCACCGGCACAGCCTGGTACAAAGGCCCGAACGATCCCCTCAACAAAGACCTTATCTCATCCATCAAGTCAGCCCTCGATGCGGGGTTCACTCATCTGGATTGTGCGGAAGTCTACAACACGGAGACTGAGGTTGGACAGGCGATCAAAGAGTCCGGTGTGGATCGCAGTAAGTTGTTGATCACGACTAAAGGTTTGTCAGGCATATTGCGGTCGATAAACCATTGTTGATATACGTGAAAAACAGTGATTACCAACATCGCCGACCCCATTGCCGCCCTCCGCACTTCCCTCGAGAAGCTCGGCACGGACTACGTCGACCTCTATCTCATACACGCACCCTTCTTCGCCACAAAGCCCAACCCCCCCAATTCCCTCCTCAACGCCTGGTCCTCCCTAATTGATGCCAAACACCAAGGTCTCACAAAGGCCATTGGTGTCTCAAACTTCCGTATCCAGGATCTTGAGGAGTTGAAAAAGTCGCCCAATTGGGTGAAACCGAGCGTTAACCAGATCGAATATCATCCGTGTTTGCAGCAGGAAGAGTTAGTGGGGTATATGAACAAGGAGGGGATCAAGATAGCGTGTTATTCCCCTTTGGTGCCGATCACGAGGGATGTTGGGACGGGGGCGGTGAAGAAGCTCGCGGAGAGGATTGCGGAGAAGCACGGGAAGACATCGGGTCAAATCCTCCTCAAATGGAGTCTCCAAAAAGGGTACCCCTCCCCCTCACCCTGCCTTCACCACCCACCCCCC